TAGCTTTGCGCCTTTCCTGGAACTCGCTTTGGAGACCAGGCTGGCCTCGAACTCACAGAGATCCACCTGCCTCTGCCTCCCGAGTGCTGGGACTAAAGGCGTGCGCCACCACTGCCCGGCATAAGAAAGGCTTTTAAGTGATTTAAAAATCAGTTTTTAAATTAACAAACATTTATCTTTTGTTAAATCCTACATGTATCGTGTGTGTGTGTGTGTGTGTGTGTGTGTGTGTGTGTGTGTGTGTGTGATGTATAACCCAGACTTCCCCCATGAGCAGTGTGTTTATAACACTTTTGTATTACGTACCAAAATGTGATTATATAAAATGTCCTCATTAAAGATGGATGCGAGAGTGTCCAGAATTGCTACCTCATGTTCATGTATGCAACATGGCCAAAGGTGTAGGCACACAATATGAGAAATCAGTTTTCTTTCTTTGCATCTATTTCATGAGCTTTATGAGAGGGAATATAAAAATCAATTCATAGTCTCCTGACACCTCTTACAGTTTTTGAAAGTAAAATTCCAATGGGATTTTGTTTAGCCCCATAGGACATCAGGACTTTATATATTTGGAGAAACACAAGATGCAAAAGGTAATGAAGATGAAACATAATACACTGTGGTTGTGATTAAGCGTTTGTGCGTGTGCATGTTCATGTGCGTGTGTGCGTGCACACACGCTCTGCAGTATTGGTGGGTGAACTCAAGGCTTCATGCATGCTAACATTACTACTGAGCTATATTCCCAGTCCAAGTGTTACATGTATTTTTAAAGTACTACAACAAACATTGGCTAATTTCATTCTGCTTCTTTGAACTTGTAAAATTGATAGTGACATTTCAGAAGCGGCAAGGATTCTATCACATTTCATTGCTAAGTCTTAAGACTTTTACAAACTAATAGGTGACTATAGACAAAGTAAGAAAACAGACAAATGGAACCAAACATTCCTGGCACATTATGGAACAAAATCAGCTTCTGTGATGTTACCCACCCTGCTGGTTGCAAGCAAAAGCTTCTCCAAGTATCTCAGCCATTCGAAAATAAACTCAGCCTTCTGAACTTCACCTAGTTGACTAGACGCTTCTTCATTGAGCAGCAGGCTGTGAGCTAATTCCATTCCTTGCAGCCAATTCTCTTAGCTGGTCACAGGTCTTCTCATTTATAATCGCAGTCAATACACCTAAGGACCAAAACCTGCAACGGGAGCAAAACACTTTGAAAGGCGATCGGACTGCTGGAAAATTCTATAAGAAGTAAAAGCATGGCTAAATATATCCTTAGAACTGCTGCAGGGTGAATCCCAGAAAGGTCCCAATAGTAAGTTCCAGTTAGCTGACCCAAATTCATCTTCCCATTCAAAAGGACAGGCGGGCCAAACAGGGCAGATTGTCAACAAGCAAAAGCAAAACAAAATCACTAAAACCACGAGATAATCCACTTAAGTTCTCCAAGTTTCAGGGTCAACTAATGAGGTCAATGTTAGATTTCAGTATTCACTGTACCCTAAATACCTTTCTATTAAAATGTGTCATAGGTATTTTAACAAGTGACCAAATAGCTAGCCAGCTTACTAAAACCCTGTAGAGAACCTGACCACTTCCGTACTCTGGCTTGGGTCTCTGGAGCGACTGCTCTTGCCCAATCAAGATTCACTTGCAGCTTGAGGCGTTTTAGGACCACCTGTCTTCACCAGCAGAGTCACCTTCCTGGAGTTCAGTTGTAAACACCTTTCTGATGGCTCGTGGGGGATTTCTCCAGAACCGTAAAGCATCATCACATGTGTGTGACCCAAGCCCAGTGAAGCCTTAATAAGGGGTATAGCCACCAGCATCTCTGTGCACCACGCCTCTCTAGATTGCACAGGACACAGACATTCACACTAACTCTAACAGGTGATGTGAGCATGGGACGGTGCTCATATTGTATTTTTAAGAAAGTTTGTGCTTAAGTATGTTGCTGTAACATATTTTTAAATGATCAACTCAACCATAAAATATGGCAAAATGTTAACAGATAAGTGGTGGACGTGAGAGGGGTCATTTTACTAGTCTGTATTTTTTGTACTTTTAAAAAGATCACAATAAAATGCAGAAAAATTATTCAAGTAATTTTTAAAAGCTGTCTATAAATAAATAATAGTATTTGAGGGCCAGAGAGATGGCTTGGCAAGTAAAGGCGCGTGCCACCAAGCCCGGCAGTGTAAGTTCAAGTCTCAGGCCCCACATAGTAGAAAGAGAAAACGGACTCCTGCAAGCTGTCCTCTGGGTTTTACACACACACACACACACACCCCAAATACAATTAATTTTATTAAAAATACTACTACTCTAGCTGGGTATGATGGTGCACACCTGTAATCCCAGCACTCGGGGGCAGAGGCAGGTGGATCTCTGAGAGTTTAAGGCCAGCCTGGTCTATGGGGTGAGTTCCAGAATGACCAAGGCTAAACATAAGAAGAACCCTGTGCTGAAAAGCAAAACAAAATAAAACAAACAAAAAAAGACTACTACTCCAGTGTGATGGTGCAAGCCTTTAGTCCGGCTACTGAAGCAACTGAAAGTGCAGGATCACTCGCCTAGATGCCGGCCTAGGAACACAGCAAGACCCCTTTTAGGAGACAAAACCACAGCAGCTTCCAGGAGACGCAGCTGTCAGCAAGAGCAGCGGGCACATGAGAAGGAGCACTCATCTACACGAGTTCTCTACGCAGCAAAGAGAAATGACTGACTGCTACAGGTAGTTCAAATATCAGGAATGCATGCTCCACGTTTCCCTAAGCAAAACTAACTATTTCAATAGAAAAGCCAGTAAGGTATATTAGAAAATCAGGTGTGAGATGTAGGAAGGTTCTTATTGCATTTGATTTCTTTCTGGGTGCTTCCTAGTATAACATGTTTACACTACCACATCATCGTAATTACTAGACATCTGAAAGGCCCGTGGAAGACTCCACACTGTATCTTACTTATGTCAGCTGCTATGGACCCACGTCTAGATTTCAGGACATATTCCTGACCAAAACCCACCTCTGTCCAGCTCTAACTAGCTTCTCACTCTGTGCTGCAGCCATCTTCCCGATCAGTTCTGCCAACATGCCTAGGACTGTCCACGAAAGGGCACCCAGAGTCACTCAAAACCCAGCTTAGTTTCTTTCCAGAAGTGTCACCTTTAAGGGGCAAAGAACAATACAAACATCCAGGCATCACCTGGCTAGTAACCCGCTACTTGGGAGGTAGAGGCAGTAGTTAAGGATTATCTATCCTTAGACACACAGCAACATTGAGGCCACCCTGGGCTATGTGAAACCCTGTTTCCAAACCAACCAACCAACCAACCAACCAACCAACCAACCAACCAACCAACCAACCAAAAGAATAACACAAAGAATGCTTCTAAGAGTTTTGCAGAAATGAGACGAATTATAGCTTATTTATAAAGCTTTTCCCTTTCTTAAATTACCAAAATGGGGCTGGTGAAATGGCTCAGTAGCTAGTGAATCTGCCACCCACAGTAGTGATCAGAGTCAGGAGCCTAGAACCATCCTGGCAAATGCTAGGTGAGCTTGGCGACCTGCCTATCATCCCAGCATTTGGGAGGGAGAAATGAGATCTCTGGAGCAAGCTGGCTAGCCAGACTAACCATATGAGGAGCTCTGGGTTCAACTGACAGACCATGCCGCAGTGAGTAAGGCGGAAAGCGACTTGGAAGAACCCTGAGGCCAACTGTCAGCCTTCATGGCACGCTCAGGCATTTGTCTGTACAGCCCCTACACGCATGTCCCCCAGCCCTAAACAAGTTATATACATGCATACCACACACACAAGGAAAAAGAATTAGAAAAATGAACTGGCTGAAATATTCACAATTAAGGACAGAATTCAGAAATGCTAGAGGAACACTTTTTTAGAAGAAACCTACTAAGCATACAGTACTTTTATCTTCAGTATCTATGACTCTAGAGGGAAAAATAAATAAATAAATGTTCTGTGATCACCGGGGCAAATGACCATCTTAAGAATCAAATTACCCTTTCAGGAGGCCGACGGTGCTGCTGAGAAGACATTTTTCTTCCTTAGACAGCAGCAATATTGTGGTGTAAAATGATCTATCAAGAAGCAAAATAGCTAATACAATGTGATAATAAATAATTCAGCAAAAAAGCTCGAGCCCAAGAGCAGGGCACAAAGTTCCCACTAATGCTTCCCATGCAGCCCTCACAAGGCACTCTCCTCAAGGGCGGCAGCAGCCAGTTCCTAAGGCGATCTCACCTTTCCCCTCCGGCAGGCCAGGCCACACCTGAGACCCGCACACCCGCACTCTGAAGTGAGAAGCGACCGCACTTTGCAGACAGAGGCTCCGACTGAAGCCTGGCTTTAGGAAGATGGCTGCAGATTCAGCGTTGCCTCCTGCAAACCCTAATACAGCCACAGCCTCCATACACTGAAGAACTGCACTTGGCTAATTTCCTCTTCCACTCACATTTCTGTTGAGAGAGGAACTGATTTATCTCCTGAAAGTGAACACATATAGCAACATTTAGACATGCGCTTCCTTTTGTAAGATGGAGTCTTGCTATATGCTACCTAAGCTAACCTTAAACTTGCAATCCTCCTACTTTAGCTTCTTGAGTAGTTCGGACCATAGCCATACAGCACCACACCTAGCTGGGATCTATTTCTCAAAGCATAGTCAGTAGTCGCTTGAAAAAAATGACTTCATAAAGCCACTGTTCCAACTCTAATGCCAGCAGCAATTTTAATGGCTGCTGATATCTGATCACTTACTATGGTCTAACATTTACTTTCTTAAATAAACCTTAAAAAGGTTGATAGGGTAGCTATTTTTTAAAAATGTATTATTATTTTTAAGTCTATGTGTACACATGAATGCTGTGGAGGCCAGCGATGCTGGATCCCCTGGAGCTGGGGTGATGGGTGGCTGTAGCTGTCTGAAGTGGGTGCTGGCAACCAAGTGAGGGTCCTCTGCAAGAGCAGTGTGCACTCTTAACCGCCATCCATCTCCCTCACCCCTGTTTCTTCTATTTTAAGTTTCCCAGGTGCTGAGACCTGAACTCAGCTCCTCTGCAAGAACAGTACGCACTCTCACACACCAAGGCAGCTTTCCAGCCCTCGGAGTGGCTATTTTGATTGCCTCCTCTTACAAATGAGAAAACTAAGGTGGAAAATGAGGTAGCTTTCCTGAATACACACAAGTCTTTTTAGTTGTTTTGGTTTCTTAAAACTATTCTGAAGGAAAGAAAATAATGACAACAAGGAGAAGATGAGGCACAGATAATGTACTGGATTGGTCTGTCAGTGTGTCCCCGGAGAACGGAGAATAATCAGAAAATGGAACCGAGTGCAGCGGGACCAAGTGCCCCAAGTCCTGCGCGACACTGGATTAAATTTCCAACACGTTTCTAGATTCTCACTACTCAAAAGGTACCACAGCAGCTTCAGCTCAGCCCCCGTCTTCAGTGTCTCTGCTTTTGTTAAATAAGGCTGAACAAACACCAACTCTATACAAACCATTTTTACCAACCTAAGCGTTTCAAACTGAAGCAACCCCCCAAATCAACAGTAATCACCTACAGCACAGCCAAGTGCTCTAACCTCAGGTCCCCATTTGTGATCAGGGCTTTGAAAACAACAGGTCATGGATCAGGACCTCCCAAGGCACACAAGGCATTAGCTAGTGCTTCACCACCAAGACAAAAATGAGGTGCTGTCTTCTTGACTGTGAGTATCCTGAGGTACTGGGTAACTGCCCCAATTAGAAAAAATACGAAAATGCCAATAAAAGAAACTCTAAAACGCCACGAGGCAGGAGATTGTCATATGCATTCTGTGCAAACTTGCCAAGGGGCATGTCCCAGACACTTCAGACAATTTCTTATTTGTGTTTGTTTGGAGACAGGGTTGCCTGGAACTCCTCATCCTCCTGCCTCACCTCCTAAGGCTTCAGTCAACTTCTGAGCGGTTTCTAAAAGTGCTTACAGAGGTGGAAGATCTGAGGGTACTGCCAAGGCAGCTCCTGTAAAGATGTGGAACTGGATGTGGAAGGACACCCCAGGAATTCCAGCACTTGGGAGACGGAGACAGGCGGGGGAGGAGTTCAAGGTCATACTTGGCTACACAGCATCGGAGGCCAACCTGTGGTACAGGGCCCTTGTCTGAAAATCGTGAGTAAGTAGACTGTCCACACTTAGACACATACAGAGGCTGTCAACACACAGCGGCAGTTGTTTGTGTTTTGTGATCAAAGGACGGCGGTGTTACTAGGACAGTTATTTTACACAAATCTCAGCGTCAGCAGCGTTAGAACCACACCTACTACAGACCTGC